CGTATTAGTAATCCAAATTAATTAAGAGTGATTGAATGTGAATATGTGTATAGGAATTACTACAAATGCTCAAGTGAAGGTTGCATGGTGAAGAAGAGAGTAGAGAGAGATGGTGAAGATGCAGCTTATGTGATTACAACATATGAAGGAGTCCATAACCATGAGAGTCCCTCACATGTCTATTTCAACGACATGGTTCTGTCTTATGATCATGGTAATTGGAACCAACACTCTCTTCGTCAATCTATCCAAATCTCTCCTCCTCCTTGAGAGTATAAGATATCTTACCATCATTATATTTAATATCAATGGATCTGCCTTGTTGTAATTTTATCATAGGTATAATAAAAAATTTCACACGTCGCGGTTATAGGGGGGTTTTCTTTGATATGTATATGGTTTTAGTTTATCTAGATATCAATTATCAGTGTATAGTTGCAAATTTGCAGTGTTATGGTAAAACTCTAGTGTTATTCAATAAGACATTTTGTAGTTTTTTTTTTATCTAGAGATCAATAGTAACCCATTTCATTATGCATGTGAAAATGGTCATATTTATAGTTCGTTTGAAAATGTTATTCATGTACATCAACTTCTTCGACCAAAAAAGAAAGTACATCAACTTCAACGTTTTTTATTCGTTCTGAATTTTGTTTTTTTTAGAGATGGATGGTTTTGCGTAATAATTACTATATAACTTAACACTTAATGTTGTGTATATAATTACACATTGTACACATAAGCAACACATGTATAACTAACTTGAGCCGTGTATACAACTACGTCTCTACCATACATTATACATATACGCGGTACGCATATATTATACTGCTTTGCTTTGTATCGGTTATGTAGTATATCAAAAGAACAAAATATTACTACTTTATTGTGCCATCATCAAGTTTAATCTAATTTCGTCGTCTTTGGAAAATAACCAATGTGAAATATAGAACACTTGTCTATTATTGTGCATGTATTTTTATATTTGCAATTCTCAAGGCTAAATCTATTGGGAAAACATTTTATTAAAAAAAAAAAATTGAAAAACGAAGGATTCATATATAGTCATGAAACCAAATTTCCTTGAATCAAATAAAAGGATCTACTAATAATTCTTGACCTAAACGAAATAATTTAATTAGATTTGAATGAATTTAGAGTTATTGACTTATTTCAAATCAAATATATAATCTTAGCACTTAAATTTATGATGAATTTGATAAATAATTTACATGTTTTTCCTTTCTAAACAAAACAAACAATAGTTTTAAATTTCATATTGAAGAAAAACTTTAATCATAAAGTTGCATAATCGTGAAAAACAAACTGATCATGGAATATATATTTTTCATCGTTAGATATAAAATTTGTTTTCA